TGCATGTTGTTTCCAAATCTTTCCACACCGGCTTCTTTCCCTTTTCTTTATAGTTGACCAATTCCTTTATTATTATCTCCTGTCCACTTCTCAAGGTAGAAACGTTGTGAAACAAGGCTATAGTAGCCGTTAGGTCATTGAAATTTTCGCCGGAATCGTCACAGCGAAGCTCTATGGCGCGGCTGACCAGGCACTCTTGTTCCTCAAGACGATCCTTAATATCGCAATCCGGCCATTTCAAACACTTGACCCGCTTAGGTCCCGACACATGTATCGAAGAAAATATAATCCAAACACCAGGGTCTCTGATAGCCCAAGAGAATTGTTCATTAGTTCGGACGATTCTCCTGTTGATAAAGAAAGAGATTCCAACATAACGTAATAATGCAAGTTCATTTATTTCTTTGCGTTTCTTAAATGCTTACAAAATAAAGCAATTTTACAATCGGTAAGATGTGTTTGCTTGCTATGACCTAGAGTTCTTTTTTTGCAAGTTCCTTTTTCGTAGACTTCGTAGATGATCTGGCAAATTATCGCAAAATTGGAATTATTTGTACATTTCGTAGTTTTCGTAAGTGTCGTTGGGGCTTTCTTTAACCCCTGGAATTAGTTTCCTAAATTTCGTCCATGGTCCTGCCAATTTTCGTAAATTTTGCAGTTCCCGTAACTGCTTTTAATCTCGCTTATTATATAGAGTTTGTGTGGCTTACGCGAGGTGTAAATTAAACCACACTATGTCATGACCTCAGGAATTTGTTCCTAGCTGGCTGGCTGGATTTGTCACAGCGAACAGAGCGCTTGTCACGTGGTTTACTATCGTCGACGATAGGTTCCAGTCTTCCGCTCAGCTAAGTTACGTAAGCTTCACAGGTGTAGAATGCGGCCGTTTTGTATTGAGCTAACCGCCTCCCGGTTAACTCAATGGATAGAGCACTGGACTGTTGTGCGGGAGGTCGAGGGTTCGAGCCCCTACCGGACCAGCACTCAGGGTCTTAAAATAATTGAGAAGAATATGCTTCCTTTCTATAACATCAAAAAATGATTAGATATTCCAGTCTTCTCGGACAGGGCCGAATAAATGGAGGTACCGTCTCCTGTAGGGTTAGGGGCAGGACCTAACCCACACACGAGATTACTGTGTGATGGATGTCCTTTCCTGGGGTGGGATGGGTGGGTAAAAGGACCCCGTTGATACCAGTGTTTACTACACTAAGGGGGCTATCCTGTATAAATATAGATGTCTTAATCTTAATCTTAAGCACGTTGTCGATGATCGTTTTGTATCGAGTGATTCGTTCATCTTTGTTGCAGAGATTTCACACGCGGATTTCCTACAGTCGGCTTGTCTTCTAGGTGCGGATTACAGTGAGGATTCTTTTATTTACAAACACTGAAACAAGTTGTTGGACAATACAAAATGCGGAATGAAGTAGCGTTTTGGTTTACTCAATTTATGTACAGCTAGAATTCACGTGACTAAGCGGCGCGGTCACGTTTCACGTCAGTCTTTTACCAAAACGTTTTTATCCTGAATTCCTCCTCATACCACAAGCTCAGTAACATAATTCCTTGATCAGTCTTTTTAGCACATGCTTAAATACAATTTTCTGCCGATGAGTGAAAATAAGAATTTTTTTTTGCCATTTAAAAATCAAACACTGCTGTTGTCTGGAAATTCTATGTGATTTTAGACCGTAACATTTCATGACTTCCTGTAAGCTTGGCAGTCTTCTACATTCCCTTCATAGACAACAATCAAGTTTACACTAAGTAGATTATCATTAATATTTAAACTTGGTTGCAATACACGTGTATTAGGCCTTTATATGGTGGACTACAACTCCTTTTCAGTTACATGTTTGTTCGTGGTTAATTCATCACAATTAACAATTATTCCACGAGCGCGCGTTGGATATGAGATGATAGATAGCCAACGAGGCGCCGAGTTGGCTTTAATCATCTCATATC